TCCCCACTACGCTCCCCCCTCCCCACTACCTCCACCCTCCCCACTACACTCCCCCTCCCCACTACGCTCCCCCCCCCACTACGCTCCCCCCTCCCCACTACGCTCCCCCCTCCCCACTACACTCCCCCCTCCCCACTACACTCCCCCCCCCCCACTACGCTCCCCCCCCTCCCCACTACCTCCACCCTCCCCACAATTCTGAACATTGGTGGGTGGCCCTAGAGGCTCAAGAGGTCTGTAGGCGCTCAACCCCGTGGTGGAGCGCGATGCCCCGGCGAACGTTTGCTGGTGTCGGAACCGATCCGCCGGGGTGTTCTGGAGCGCGTGGGGGGGGGGCGCGGGGGGGGGGGGGCGCGGGGGGGGGGCGCGGGGGGGGGCGGGGCGGGCGGGGGGGGGGGGGGCACCGGTTTTGCGACACCGATGACTCCGGGGATTGCAAAAAAAATAATAACTAAACTAAAAGCGCCGTGTGTTTAATTTGGTTAATCAATTAATCTACTGTGGGGGGGGGGGGGGGAGGAGGGGGGGGGGGGCGAGGAAAGAAAACCCCCATTCAGCTCTGGAAATAATAAAAGAACAGAGAAACACAAACACACAAACACACACAAAAGAGCCCTCTCCTCCTGCTACTTAACGGCGGTAATTGTTTCCACGAAACCGATCGTTAAAAGAGATTTGCTCGTTGAGCGAGCGCGGGGGGAGATTGCACGTCGAAGGGGGCTTCGTTCGTTCCGACAGCCACCCCCCCCCCTCCCGACACACCCCCCCCCCGCCCCCCTTTTTTTCACCCAAACAAACGTACTGTGCGGGCGACATTGAACGGGAGCAGCAAAAGTCCAGAGTTCTCCTTCGTAGTTGTTGTTGTTGTGGTCGTTGTTGTTGTTGTGGTCGTTGTTGTTGTTGTTGGTGTTGTTGGTGTTGTTGTCGTTGTGGTCGTTGTTGTTGTTGGTGTTGTTGTTGGTGTTGTTGTTGTCGTTGTTGGTGTTGTCGTCGTTATTGTTGTTGTCGTTATTGTTGTTGTTGTCGTTGTTGGTGTTGTTGGTGTTGTGGTCGTTGTTGTCGTTGTCGTTGTTGTTATCGTTGTTGTTGTCGTTGTTGGTGTTGTCGTCGTTATTGTTGTTGTCGTTATTGTTGTTGTTGTCGTTGTTGGTGTTGTTGGTGTTGTTGGTGTTGTGGTCGTTGTTGTCGTTGTCGTTGTTGTGGTCGTTGTTGTCGTTGTTGTCGTTGTTGTCGTTGTTGTTGTTGTTGTTGTCGGTGTCGGTGTTGGTGTTGTTGTCGTTGTTGGTGTTGTTGTTGTTGTCGTTGTTGTTATCATTGTTGTTGTCGTCGTTGTTGTTGTCGTTGTTGGTGTTATTGTCGTTATTGTTGTTGTCGTTATTGTTGTTGTTGTCGTTGTTGTTGTTGTCGTTGTTGTCGTTGTTGGTGTTGTTGGTGTTGTTGTTGTTGTCGTTGTTGTCGTTGTCGTTGTTGTTGTCGTTGTTGTTATCGTTGTTGTTGTCGTTGTTGGTGTTGTCGTCGTTATTGTTGTTGTCGTTATTGTTGTTGTTGTCGTTGTTGGTGTTGTTGGTGTTGTTGGTGTTGTGGTCGTTGTTGTCGTTGTCGTTGTTGTGGTCGTTGTTGTCGTTGTTGTCGTTGTTGTCGTTGTTGTTGTCGGTGTCGGTGTTGGTGTTGTTGTCGTTGTTGGTGTTGTTGTTGTTGTTGTCGTTGTTGTTATCATTGTTGTTGTCGTCGTTGTTGTTGTCGTTGTTGGTGTTGTTGTCGTTATTGTTGTTGTTGTTGTTGTTGTTGTCGTTGTTGTTGTTGTCGTTGTCGTTGTTGTTGGTGTTGTTGTCGGTGTTGTTGTTGGTGTTGTTGTCGGTGTTGTTGTTGTTGTCGGTGTTGTTGTTGTTGTTGTTGTCGTTGTTGTTGTTGGTGTTGTTGTCGGTGTTGTTGTTGTCGTTGTCGTTGTCGGTGTTGTCGTTGTTGTTGTTGTCGTTGTTGTTGTCGTTGTTGTTATCATTGTTGTTGTCGTCGTTGTTGTTGTCGTTGTTGGTGTTGTTGTCGTTATTGTTGTTGTTGTCGTTGTTGTTGTTGTCGTTGTTGGTGTTGTTGGTGTTGTTGTTGTTGTCGTTGTTGGTGTTGTTGTCGTTATTGTTGTTGTTGTTGTCGTTGTTGTCGTTGTTGTTGTTGTCGTTGTCGTTGTTGGTGTTGTTGTCGGTGTTGTCGTTGTTGTGGTCGTTGTTGTCGTTGTTGTGGTCGTTGTTGTCGTTGTTGTCGTTGTTGTCGTTGTTGGTGTTGTTGGTGTTGTTGTTGTTGTTGTCGTTGTTGGTGTTGTTGTCGTTATTGTCGTTGTTGTTGTCGTTGTTGTCGTTGTTGTTGTTGTCGTTGTTGTTGTTGGTGTTGTTGTCGGTGTTGTTGTTGTTGTTGTCGTTGTCGTTGTCGGTGTTGTCGTTGTTGTTGTTGTTGTCGTTATTGTTGTTGTCGTTGTTGTTATCATTGTTGTTGTCGTTGTTGGTGTTGTTGTCGTTATTGTTGTCGTTATTGTTGTTGTTGTCGTTGTTGTCGTTGTCGTTGTTGTCGTTGTTGGTGTTGTTGGTGTTGTTGTTGTCGTTGTTGGTGTTGTTGGTGTTGTTGTTGTTGTCGTTGTTGTCGTTGTTGGTGTTGTTGTCGTTATTGTCGTTATTGTCGTTGTTGTCGTCGTTGTCGTCGTTGTTGTCGTTGTTGTCGTTGTCGTTGTTGGTGTTGTTGTCGTTATTGTTGTCGTTGTTGTCGTTGTTGTTGTTGTCGTTGTCGTTGTTGTTGGTGTTGTTGTCGGTGTTGTTGTTGGTGTTGTTGTCGGTGTTGTTGTTGTTGTTGTCGTTGTTGTTGTTGGTGTTGTTGTCGGTGTTGTTGTTGTTGTTGTCGTTGTCGTTGTCGGTGTTGTCGTTGTTGTTGTTGTTGTCGTTGTTGTTGTCGTTGTTGTTATCATTGTTGTTGTCGTCGTTGTTGTTGTCGTTGTTGGTGTTGTTGTCGTTATTGTTGTTGTTGTCGTTGTTGTTGTTGTCGTTGTTGGTGTTGTTGGTGTTGTTGTTGTCGTTGTTGGTGTTGTTGTCGTTATTGTTGTTGTTGTTGTCGTTGTTGTCGTTGTTGTTGTTGTCGTTGTCGTTGTTGGTGTTGTTGTGGGTGTTGTCGTTGTTGTGGTCGTTGTTGTCGTTGTTGTGGTCGTTGTTGTCGTTGTTGTCGTTGTTGTCGTTGTTGGTGTTGTTGGTGTTGTTGTTGTTGTCGTTGTTGGTGTTGTTGTCGTTATTGTCGTTGTTGTTGTCGTTGTTGTCGTTGTTGTTGTTGTCGTTGTTGTTGTTGGTGTTGTTGTCGGTGTTGTTGTTGTTGTTGTCGTTGTCGTTGTCGGTGTTGTCGTTGTTGTTGTTGTTGTCGTTATTGTTGTTGTCGTTGTTGTTATCATTGTTGTTGTCGTTGTTGGTGTTGTTGTCGTTATTGTTGTTGTCGTTATTGTTGTTGTTGTCGTTGTTGTTGTTGTCGTTGTTGTCGTTGTTGGTGTTGTTGGTGTTGTTGTTGTTGTTGTCGTTGTTGGTGTTGTTGGTGTTGTTGTTGTTGTCGTTGTTGTCGTTGTTGGTGTTGTTGTCGTTATTGTCGTTGTTGTCGTCGTTGTCGTCGTTGTTGTCGTTGTTGTCGTTGTCGTTGTTGGTGTTGTTGTCGGTGTTGTTGTTGTTGTTGTCGTTGTCGGTGTTGTCGTTGTTGTTGTTGTTGTCGTTGTTGTTGTCGTTGTCGTCGTTGTTGGTGTTGTTGTCGTCGTTGTTGTTGGTGTTGTCGTTGTTGTCATCATTGTTGTCGTTGTTGGTGTTGTTGTTGTTGCACCACGGGGGCCCCCCGACACCGGACACTGAGCTGCGACTCTCGCCCGCGCTTCCTCCCGGCCCGAGACTCCGCCCCCCCCCCCCCCCCCCCCCACCGGGGGGGCCGCCGCGATGGCCGCACCGGCACGGCGGCAGCTCGGCCGCGGTGAAACAAAAACTCACCGCCACCACACCAGCGGGCACAGACGACGCTTCTGGTCCATCATCGCAGAGGCCTCCCCCCCCACCCCGCCCCCCCCACGCCCCCCCGGGGGCTTTTAAGTGCGGGCCCCCCCCCCCCCCTTGAAGTGCGGCCTCCCTCTCCCCGACAGTAAACGGTGAAAAACACCACCACCCCTCCCCCCTCACCCCCCATCATCGTCATCACCATCATGACGTCGTGGCCACAAAACACCACCACCCCCACCCCCCACCACCACCACCCATCATCGTCGTGAGTCGTCATCACCATCATCATCATGACGTCGTGGCCACAAAACACCACCACCCCTCCCCCCTCACCCCCCCATCATCATCATGACGTCGTGGCCACAGAACACCACCACCACCCCTCCCCCCTCACCCACCCATCATCGTCGTGAGTCGTCATCATCATCATCATGACGTCGTTCTTACAAAACACCACCACCCCTCCCCTCCCACCACCACCCATCATCGTCGTGAGTCGTCATCATCATCATGACGTCGTTCTTACAAAACACCACCAACCCCCCCATCATCATCATGACGTCGTTGTTACGGAACACCACCAACCCCCCCATCATCGTCATCGTCATCATCATCATGACGTCGTTGTTACAGAACACCACCAACCCCCCACACCCACCCATCATCGTCGTCACCATCACCATCATCATGACGTCATTGTTACGGAACACCACCGACCCCGCACGCTCCCCGCACGCTCCCCGCACGCACCCCCCCCCCCCTCCCCCCCCCCTCCCCACAATTGGTTTCAAATATTCCTTGGGCCCGTCGGTAAAGTCGCACAGACGGGTTAAAAGAACAAAACTAAAACTACGACTTACATTTTGATTTAAAGCTTTCGTGACTGCAGGGATTCATATTCCTGGTTCTTTCGGTAAAGTCGCCGCCACGTTAAAAGAGAAACGATAAAACAATAAAAATATAAAACGATAAAATTCTCACGACGTTTCGTTTTGTGGTTACCTTCATTGTGCTGAGCCCTTCGTTTGTCATCCCTCACAGTGCGAGGTCCTTCCCCTTTGCTGCGCACACACAACAACAACACACACAACAACAACACACACACACAACAACACACAACAACACAACACACAACAACAACAACAACACACACACAACACACACAACACAACAATACACACACAACAACAACAACACACAACACACAACAACAACAACACACACCACAACAACACACACACAACATCAACAACAACACACACAACAACAACACACACACACACAAACAACACACACACACACAACAACAACACACACACACACAACAACCACACACACACACAACAACAACACACAACAACAACACACAACACACACACACACACAACAACAACACACACACACACAACAACAACAACACACACACACACAACAACACACAACAACAACACACAACAACAACACACACAACAACAACACACAACAACAACACACACAACAACAACACACAACAACACACACAACAACAACACACACCAACAACAACACACAACAACACACAACAACAACAAACAACACACAACCACAACAACACCACACACAACAACAACACCAACAACAAACAACACACAACCACAACAACAACACACACAACAACAACACACACAACAACAACACACACACAACAACTCACACAACGACAACACACACACACACGACAACACACACACACACACAACAACAACACACAACAACAACACACACAACAACAACACACAACAACAACAACAACGACACACAACAACACACACAACAACAACACACAACAACAACGACACACAACAACACACACAACAACAACAACACACACAACAACACACAACAACAACACACACAACAACACACAACAACAACAACACACACACACAACAACAACACACACACAACAACAACAACACACACACACAACAACAACACACACACACAACAACAACACACACACACACACAACAACAACACAACAACACAACACACAACAACACGACAAAATATTAAAATCGGCACGTTCAGATTGCAGCACGGGGGGGGGGGGGGGGGGAGGGGCAAACTAACGGAAGCGCAGCACTCTCGATAAAGCAGCACCCGGCTTGCGTAACCCGGCCTGCGGATTATTCGTCGCGCGCCTGAGATTTCCGCGTGGATTTCGTGGAAACGTCCCGTTCACAAGTCGAAAGGCGCCCGTGGCAAAAACGGACATACGCGCTGCGCCCGGTTAATCCGAAATATCCACGTGATCGCCTCCACAGCACAGGAGTTGCAATGCCGTTACAGCAGTGGGGCGGGGGGGACTTCCGATTGGTGTCGATTTCGGGGCGTGGCTACGCGGTCCGCTTCGTGGGCGGAGTTACTCGGCTTCCGGCGGCAACAGCAACGTGCCATGTGCCGAGCACGCGCGCCGATCGCCAAATGCGCACCGTCGTTCGTGGCGCTTGCCGTCGCGAGGTCACGGACATTTGTGAACTCGGGGAGCTTCATGACAGATTCCTTACAGTGTAAATATACTCTGATTCTGAGATCTGCGGAAAATGGAGACTTTTTGCGTGAGCCGCCATTTTTTTTTTATAAATCCACGATTTTGAATTAACCCGCGATTTTGAATCATCCGCGCTTTTGAATGATCCGCGATTTTGAATGATCCGTGAATTTTAATAATCCGCGGTTTTGAATTATCCGCCATTTTTTTATAATCCACGATTCTGAATTAACCCGCGATTTTGAATCATCCGCGCTTTTGAATGATCCGCGATTTTGAATGATCCGCGAATTTTAATAATCCGCGGTTTTGAATTATCCGCGGTTTTGAATTATCCGCGCTTTTGAGGGTTACGACACATTTATAAATAAACGCGATCTAACCCAAAAACCTTTATTATGCTTTTGAATGATCCGCGGTTTTGAATCAGCTTTTGAATGATCCGCGGTTTTGAATGATCCGCGAATTTTAATAATCCGCGGTTTTGAATTATCCGCCATTTTTTTATAATCCACAATTCTGAATTAACCCGCGATTTTGAATCATCCTCGCTTTTGAATGATCCGCGATTTTGAATGATCCGCGAATTTTAATAATCCGCGGTTTTGAATTATCCGCGGTTTTGAATTATCCGCGCTTTTGAATGATCCGCGGTTTTGAATCAGCCGCGGTCATCCTTCCCCCTTCATTATCGCGGATAATCGAGCCTACTGCGCGGTTCAACAAGGCGGACCCCGCTACTGGCCAAGGATCCACTGAGGTCATGGCGAATCAAGCTGCCGATGACCACCACCAAAGATCCCCCCCCGCCCACCACCCCACCGGCGTGTATCCTTAACAGACTGTCGGAGTCGAGCGGTGAAACGGCGAGTAGCAGCGCCTACGAAGGCCGGCACTGCGGGACACGGGGAGGTGGGTGGCCAGCAACCACGCCCGGCCACCTTTGTCTCCCCCAGTCGTCATGCTTTCAACGCCAAGCAACCGAGGGCAACTCATTTGCCCTGATAATCTACGCGATTGCTTGCTTGCATGTTTTGCCACAAGCGCGTGCGGTTCATGCAGACTTGATGCCCTTCAACAGGTACCCCCATTTGGTGTTTGAACATGTTAACACAATTCCTGATTTGTTGCCAGGTCACGTCGAGGTCACATCGAGGTCACTAGCAGGTCATGTTGAGTTCACGTCGAGGTCACATCGAGGTCACTAGCAGGTCATGTTGAGTTCACGTCGAGGTCACATCGGGGTCACTAGCAGGTCATGTTGAGTTCACGTCGAGGTCACATCGGGGTCACTAGCAGGTCATGTTGAGTTCACGTCGAGGTCACATCGAGGTCACTAGCAGGTCATGTTGAGTTTACGTCGAGGTCACATCGAGGTCACCAGCAGGTCATGTTGAGTTCACGTCGAGGTCACATCGAGGTCACAAGCAGGTCATGCTGAGTTCACGTCGAGGTCACATCGGGGTCACTAGCAGGTCATGTTGAGTTCACGTCGAGGTCACATCGAGGTCACAAGCAGGTCATGTTGAGTTTACGTCGAGGTCATGTCGAGGTCACGCCAAGGTCACGCAGGCGGCGACACCACCCGTCGTTATTAAACACCACCCGGGGGGGGGGCAGGTGGGTCGGGCAAACTAAAATAACAAGGGACGGTTTCTCTTTAATTAATTTCATTTTCCCCAATTGGCTAAAACCGAAAGAAAAAATAAACCCTCAATATTCCAAGAGGCGCCGATGCACTCTGGTGAACGGGAGAGCGGCGGAGCGGCGGTGCCGGCGGTGCGGCGGTGGTCCCTAAATAAGTAACGCCACGGAGCGGAGCTTCAAAGAGCCGCGCTGCAGACTCCGGAGCCCCAGGTTGCCGACCCCTGACCCGGGCCAAAGCTTGGCCGTCTCTCCCGCGTCTACATTATTCAGGGAGTTACTTGGCCTGCCGCCGCTGTACATTTACACGTGGTTGCGATAGTGACGACGAGCCGCTCCGTTTGCGATGGCCAGGTAACGCGTCACTGAAGAAGCCGCTACGTTACAGTGGGCCTTTGCCCGGAAAAAAATACAATTACAGCTGATGTTGACTCTCCAACGATGTCCCCCCCCCCCGAGACCTTTCGGATCGCCTCCTTCCAAGGACGCCTGAGGTCGTGGCTCTGTCCCTGGGGTTGGTGGGGCAATTGCCACAGCGAAGCTCCCAAGCTTGAGAGCAACTCTTCATGCCTTTGGCAATAGGACAAATTTGAATCGTTGGGGCTAAGTCTGTCTTGTGGGGGAGTGAGTGGGCGAGTGGGCGAGCGAGTGGGTGGGCGAGTGAGTGGGTGAGTGGGTGGGTGAGAGGGTGAGTGAGCAAGTAGGTGAGTGGGCGAATAAGCGAGTGGGTGGGTGAAAGAGTGGGTGGGTGGGTGAGTGGGTGGGTGAGTGAATGGGTGAGTGGGTGGGTGAGAGGGTGAGTGAGCAAGTAGGTGAGTGGGTGAGTGGGCGAATAAGCGAGTGGGTGGGTGAGTGGGTGGGTGGGTGAGTGAGTAAGTAGGTGAGTGGGTGAGTGGGAGAATAAGCGAGTGGGTGAGTGGGTGCGTGGGTGAGTGGGTGAGTGAGTGGGTGAGAGGGTGAGTGGGTGGGTGAGTGAGCAAGTAGGTGAGTGGGCAAATAAGCCAGTGGATGAGTGAGTGAGTGGGTGGGTGGGTGAGTGGGTGGGTGAGTGGGTGAGTGGGTGGTTGAGTGAGTGGGCGAGTGAGTGGGTGAGTGAGTGAGTGGATGCCAATCCCTTGGTCTAGATTTTTGTTGGCTGCTGCTATATATTCCCACGTCGTGATGACGAGCTACTTTGTTGAACAATAATTTGCGAAGGTCAGGTCGCTTCTGAAAAATAAAGTGCACAGCCCATTGGGCTTCACCCGGTGCAATAAAAATGTTTAGTTTTATTGGCACGCCTTTCCTATAATTTGCACTCCCATCGTGTTTTTCGGACTGCGTTTGTTGTTGTAAAGTTATGACACCCTCCCCCCACCCCCACCGTGCATGCCCCTCCGACCGAACATTTGTGCGAAAGAGCTTAAAAGCTTTCGATTTAAAGCCTTCGTGACTGCAAGGGTTCATCTTCTTTGGTTCTTTCGGTAAAGTCACCACCACGTAGAATGAGAATAAAATAATAAAATAACACAATAAAGTGGGTGGGTGAGTGAGTGGGTGAGAATTTGATTGTTTTATTTTATTATCATTCTACGTGGTGACCTTACCGAAAGAACCAAAGAAGCTTAATAGCTCATCGCATCATTCCTCCAGCGTTAAACAAATATTCCGACCCACCGGAAGTCCGGGGATTTTTTTATATACATATAAGTAGGGGGTGCCCGAGTTTACAGACAAACCCACTGTGAGTGTGTTGGGGGGGAGGGGGGGGGGGGCAGGGGTAGGGGTAGGGGGGGGGGGGGCAGGGGGTGACCGAGGCTCGGATGTTGGCTGCGGACGAGACGTGAGCGTGCGGGACACGTACGATGCGGAGAAGGCGTGCGTCCGAGGAGCGATGGTCCTCTGCCCCGTCGCTTGCAAGACCTCCTGAGGAGCCATCATCACGTAGAACTGACCTACGTGGCGGGGGTGGTGAAGAGGGGGAGGTGGACACAAGCGACGAGCGCCATCAGCGCCTGCGTCCACCGCTGACCGTGACAGGAGACGCCACACAGGTAACCCCGCCACCAACCTCTTCCAAACGCGATCGCTAACCCACCCACCACCACCACCACCACCGCCACCATCAAACGTTGACGTGAAGCGCTTTCGCGGCAGCAGGAATTTCATGTATTTTCTTTTCGAGATTTTGAAGCTTTCGTGACTGCAAGGATCCACACTCTTTGGTTCTATTGGGTAAAGTCACGTGGGTAAAAAAAATTAAAGTAACTAAAAATCACGACGTTTCGGCCACAACACGAGCGGCCTTCATCAGGTGAAGGGACCGTGCTGTCTGGAGGACAGCGCTGGAGTGAAAAAAGGCCACGCTCAGATAGATATATATTCCTTCTTCCTGGCCTCAGCAGTCCGCCGCCCGCTGTATTTTTCGTTCGCCTGAAGACGGCTTTTGCTTCTGGTGCGATCGAAACGTCGCGATGATTTTTTTGAAAAACTATTTTTCCCATCCGCTATTTTTTTTTCCATCTGAAACACACCGCACCACCACCACCACCACCACCACCCCCCCCCAGCCCCCAATGCTTCCCCCCCCCGCGTTTTGCCATTTTGCACCGTGGCCGGGCGAGCCTCGAAGGCGCCTGGGTGAAAGGCGATGAATGAATCCGAGCTGGAAGAGTTTGCTTTGGGAGGAAAACAAAAAACAAAACCCAACGGCGCACTGCTACTGCCGCCTCTCCAAAATAACACATAAACGCCCAGCCGCTTTGCGTTCCCCGAGATTCGCCGGTGACACAACGACAACGACAACAACAACAACGACGACAACAACATCAACAACAACGACGACGACAACAACGACGACAACAACGACAACGACGACAACAACGACAACGACAACAACAACAACAACGACAAAGACAACAACAACGACAACAACAACGACAACAACGACGACGACGACAACAACAACAACAACGACAACGACAACAACAACAACAACAACAACGACGACAACGACGACAACGACGACAACAACAACGACGACAACGACGACAACGACGACAACAACAACGACAACAACGACAACAACAACAACAACAACGACAACAACAACGACGACAACAACAACAACGACAACAACAACAACGACGACGACAACAACAACAACAACGACAAAGACAACAACAACAACAATGACAACAACAACAACAACGACAACAACGACGACGACGACAACAACAACAACAACGACGACGACAACGACGACAACGACGACAACGATGACAACGACGACAACAAAAACAACGACGACGACAACAACAACAACAACAACAACGACGACAACGACGACAACGACGACAACGACGACAACGACAACAACGACAACAACGACGACGACAACAACAACAACAACAATGACAACGACAACAACGACAACAACGACGACAACAACAACGACAACAACGACAACAACAACAACGACAACAACAACAACAACAACAACGACAACAACAACAACGACAACAACAACGACGACAACAACAACGACGACAACAACAACGACAACAACAACGACAACAACAACGACAACGACAACAACAACGACAACAACAACAACAACGACAACAACAACAACGACAAAGACAACAACAACAACGACGACAACAACAACAACAACGACGACAACAACAACGACAACAACAACAACAACAACGACAACAACGACGACGACAACAACAACAACAACGACGACAACAACAACGACAACAACAACAACAACAACGACAACAACGACGACGACAACAACAACAATGACAACAACGATGACAACGACGACAACAACAACAACGACGACGACAACAACAACAACAACGACAAAGACAACGACAACAACAACGACAACAACAACGACAACAACAACAACAACGACAACAACGACGACAACGACAACAACAACGACAACGACAACAACAACAACAACGGCAACAACAACGACGACAACGACAACAACGACAACAACAACAACAACGACAACAACAACAACAACGACAACAACAACAACAACGACAACAACAACAACAACAACAACGACAACAACAACAACAACAACAACGACAACAACAACAACAACGACAACAACAACGACAACGACAACAACGACAACGACAACAACAACAACAACGACAACAACAACAACGACGACAAAGACAACAACAACAACTACAACAACAACAACAACGACCGCCAGTCGCCACTCAACGGCGGCGACGTTGCCACGGCGCCAGTGCCGGGCCGCGTGGCACTTTAAGTGCCACTTTAAGTGACACTTTAAGTGCCACTTTAAGTGACACTTTAAGTGCCACTTTAAGTGCCACTTTAAGTGACACTTTAAGTGCCACTTTAAGTGCCACGCGGCCCGTCGGCCCCCCCCCGCCCGCCCCCCCACCCCGCCGCTGGCAGGGGGTGACGGGACAGACCCGGCAGGTGCCAATGGGTCGACTGAGATGGCCGCTCAAAGCACCGCCGCACACACACCCACCCACACACCCATCCACCCACCAACCCAAACACCAACCCACCCACCAACCCACACACACACCCACCCACACACCCACCCACACACCCACCCACACACACACCCACAAACCCACCCACTCACAAACCCACCCACACACCCACAAACCCACCCACACACCCACCCACCAACCCACCCACACACACACAAACCCCCCCACACACACACACACACACCCACACACCCACCCCACAAAACCCACACCAAAACACCCACCCACACACCCACCCACAAAACCACCCACACACCCACCCACACACCCATCCACCCACCCACCCACCAACCCATCCACCCACACACCCACCCACCCACAAAACCACCCACAAATCCACCCACACACCCATCCACCCACCCACCCATCCACCCACCAACCCAAACACCAACCCACCCACCCACCCACAAACCCACCCACCCATCCACCCACCCAAACGCCAACCCACCCACCCATAAACCCACCGACCTACCCATCCACCCACCCTCCAACCCACCCACCCACCCACCGTGCGACCTGGGAGGCAATCTCGCAACACGGGGAGAGGAGGGGGGGGGAGTTATAGAGGCTGACCAAGAGCTGTGGCCACGTATGGACACGCCACGGTCTTCACCCCCACGTTAATTATTTCAGATCCGGTCAAAATAATATTATAATTTCACATGCCTACGCAGGGGGGGGAGCGACCGGGGGGGGGGGGGGGGGTGGGAAGGGGGGGCGGTGGAAATGATTCATCGGCAGCAATCCCTCCGCATTCGAATCCTCGGCTCCAATTTTTTTTTAGGACCCGCGCTCAGATGTCGCGCTGCTCCCGGACGTTCGCGATGTCCTCGGGCATCCACCTCCCCCGACTCTTCTCTGCAGACCAGCAGACTAAATGGTTCAATCCCCAGAGATATGGTTGTTTTTTTACCTACTAGGCGAAATAATTACACGATCGGATAGATACACGAGCGGGGGGGGGGGGGTACGAATCGCCCGCGTCACCGGGTTTGAAGCGCAGCGGACAAACCGCTACAAAGGTAAAGATCCCCCCCCCCCGTACAGCCTCAACAGACTGTTGGGGCAAGTGCTGGCAGCGAGTAGCAGCACCTATGACACACTGACAAAGACAAAGATCCCCCGGGTAGCCTTAACAAACTTTTGGCGCAAGTGCTGGCAGCGAGAAGCAGCACCTATGACACACTGACAAAGATCCCCTGGGTAGCCTTAACAAACTTTTGGCGCAAGTGCTGGCAGCGAGTAGCAGCACCTATGACACACTGACAAAGACAAAGATCCCCTGTGAAGCCTCAACAGGCTGTTGGGGCAAGTGCTGGCAGCGAGTAGCAGCACCTATGACACGCCGACAAAGACAAAGATCCCCCGGGTAGCCTTCACAAACTTTTGGCGCAAGTGCTGGTAGCAGCACCTATGACACACTGACAAAGATCCCCTGTGAAGCCTCAGCAGGCTGTTGAGGCAAGTGCTGTCATAGAGCACCTTTGAAGGCCGGCACGGCACACGAGGGGGTGGGGACCGGCCAGCACCACGCCCGGCCGCCTTTGTCTCCCCAGTGGCGATGTTTACTAACACACCGCACCAGGTACTCATTTGAGGCCGAGTCGACCTAGGGGGAGGCCCAGGACCGGTGCACACAATCGTCACCGGTGCTCACCGTGACCGGGAATCGAACCGGGTTCGTAGCGCAGTGCGCTAACCGCCGCATGCAAGCTCCCCAAAGACAAAACAAAGATCCCCCGTATAGCCTGTAACAGACTGTAGGGGCAAGTGCTGTTAGCGAGCACCTATGAAGGCCGGAACGGTACACGATGGGGTGGGTGGCCAGCACCACGCCCGGCCGCCTTTGTCTCCCCAGTGGCGATGTTCACTAACACACCGCACCAGGTACTCATTTGAGGCCGAGTCGACCTAGGGGAGGCCCTGGACCGGTTCAGATAATCGTCACTGGTGTTGGCCGTGAGCGGGAATCGAACCCGGGTCGCCAGGTTCATAGCGCAGCGTAGCGCTAACCGCTACACTATCGCTCCCCACACGCGCACACACACACACACACAAAACTCACGTTTATATATATGCAGAGGTACTTGCGTGTACGCACACACACATATACATTATGCATCGCCGCAGGCATACATACATACATAAGTGCACCTGGATGCATGCCGAGCCAAGGCCGCATACGTATCATGCCCGATGAGCATCCATAAATGCATGGGCATTCATCCGCTGCGCACGTAATGCAAAACAACCAAGCCTGGGCCAAAGCACGCCGTTAGCGAGCGCCTATTAAGGGCGCGCCGAGCGGGCCGACGTTGGCGGGCTGCCGAAGGAGTCCGCAAAGCGCAGCCGGTGCTCGCTCGAGGCCTGAGCTGGCGCGGGGGGGGGGG